AACTGGGAGTTAGGAGGGAAGTTTGGAAGAGTTGTTGCAATAAAGTTGGTCAATGAAGATAAGAGCCCTTAGGACTCGCGCTGACTAGAAAGAAAACGAGAAAGCATAATCATTGCAGCATGTGATTCCATTCTTTTCCTTGTTTATTTATTTTGTGAATCAAAGTTTCCCTGATTTAGTTTTGACCAACATAAACAACAATTAAGATCTATTTAAAAATATTATTTCATGATTTTATTTTGTCAACGTAGTTTGATCCAGATTTCTGTCCGATTTTTATTCAGGTTTTTAAGGTTTTCGATGGATGATATCCGACTAAATTTGATTAAATTGACCCGGTTTGTTAATTTGGTCAACTTCTTTTCTTGTTTATGGCGTGTGGCATAGGAGCTAGTCACTTTGCGGTGTTGGACTATCATGTGGTTTGGTGGTGCAATATCGACAAACATATCTTGTGTATCATCGATGGTGACTGGTTTAGCATCCACCTAAAGATCTAACCAGATCCGAACCAATCCGGCATATTACTAGGATAGGTACATGAGCTAGGCTCATGAAGACGCCTTCGGTCCAAGGAACGAGTTTGGGTTAAGCCCACAAGGTGCAACCGACGTAGTTGTCTCTAACGGAAAAAGGATCAACATGAAGAATAGAAATTCACTTAAAATTATGAAAATTTCCATATTTCATCAGAGTTTATTCGACCAATTCATATATGTGAAAGCATATGAAAGGGATCCGCAATTCATTAATACACCATGCTTTTTCAATATCGCAGATATATCAACATGTTTTTTCTGCGGATTCAGTAGTCACTGCCTTGTAATACTCATGATCCAAACAAATATTTATCGCTTAACTTAGTAAATTTTTTGTATTCTTAGTGTGTTTGTTCTAATCTTTTTATGGTTCAACTCTAAATACTATTTTGATTGTCATGCACTTGAGGTTTGATTAGGGATTTAAATTTTTATGTCATCAAATTTTTGGTGCCATTGTTAAGGAAACGTTAAAAAAGTACATCAACAACGTGATGGGATTGAGAAAATTCAAAGCGGAAGAAATGTAGACAAAGACAATTTCCAAACTAGACACTCTTATATCGGGTAACCTTTTTCTTTCCCAATGCAAGAGGCTAGCAACAAAGAAGTATTCACATCACGGAGGAGCCTCTTCGAGTACTTCTTCACATTTTTCTCACCACAAGCTCACATTGTACTTCTTCAGTGGTATACTTTA